TAATCTGGAAAAATGTTCTCTGTATAAATTGGCAAAATTTAATTTGACTTTGAGAAACAAGTAAATTCTGCTAGCATATTGTTTTTGTTGTGAGTTTGAGAGAAAAGTAGCATTTCATGTCATGGGAGTATTTTACTGGTGTTAGTTTGTAGGTGAAGACTGTTCATATACCTACAGGGCATATTAACACCAGACTTTACTAATTGAAAATGGAAACGAAGTCATTTCCATTATTAGTCATAATGAAGATGTGAAAGGTGAACTTTACCTTCATGTTTGCCTACCCTGCATCAATTTGAAGTGTAATAGGAATCTTTTATAGATTTAAGGTTTCTTCATGCCTGCCTGCCTGCAAAACCCTGTTTGGTTTTCCTTCAATCTAGAAATGATCCTATAACAAATTCAAATAAATCACATTTAAGAAAGTAAGTGAAAACATGTGTAGCTCCTTTGGCTGGACTATATATAATATGTCTGCATCTTGGCTTATTTCTCTGTGCTAAAACAAATTCCTTGTTAAACAGCCTGTAATATACCCATCACTGTTATCTAATCCAGAGGGGAACAGATGTGACAGAGCTGTGTTTTGTAAACTTTTATCATGATAATTTTTCTAGCTATATAAAAATCAGCCTTAAACTATATGAAGATGAAAGCTAAAAACAAATGGTGTCTCAGTTAAAATTAGGTATTGCATATTGCAATTTAAATTTATGTGCTAACAACTTTAGTGTTAGAATTGATAAAGGTATGAAAAATTGATTGCTGCCACGTTAGGTTAAAGGCACATTTTAGAGTTTCTCATAATGCTAAGTAGAAACAGTTACCTTGTAGAGGAAAAACTGTGCAATTAACTTGAGTTTAGACTGTAGTATAAACCTGTAGGTTTAAACTTCTGAGGTTGAGGTAATCATCTTTTCCTGAAGTCAGGTTTTGTGTCACATGACGGCTGGGTATCACATGCAGCTACAGATCCTTGTCCAGCCAGAGAAGAATGTGGGCAAGACTGGAATGTAGTGAGAATAATAGGAAAGTTTAGGAAAGAAATATAGCAGAGGAAGATTATGTGGTATAATGTCATGGGATCAGATGGCACTTCAGTTTATTTTCAGCCATCTTCCTAGTACAGTCATGAGCATTAGTTTTTTTTTTTTTTTTTGGTTTGTTTTGATCAGTTGTGGGGCTTGAACTTAGGGCCTGAGCACTAGTCCCTGAGCTTTTTTGCTCAAGGCTCTACCACTTTTGAGCTGTAGCTCCACTTCGATTTTCTGGTGGTTTATTGTCTCACAGATTTGTCTGCCCAGGCTGGCTTGAAACTTTGATCCTCAGATCTCAACCTCCTGAATAGCTAGAATTATAGGCGTGAGCCACCAGTACCTGGCTGAGCTTTAGGTTTAAGTAGAAGAAGAATTAGAGGTGGGTACAGAAGTATGCAGTTTGCCAGGGTGCTGGTGGCTCACACCTGTAATCCTAGCTACTCAGGAGGCTGAGATCTGAGGATTGCAGTTCAAAGCCAGCCCAGGCAGAAAAGTCCCTGTGAGACTTTTATCTCCAATTTCAACCACTCAAAAACCAGAAGTGGCACTGTGGCCCAAAGTGGTAGAGCACTAGCCTTGAGTGAAAGAGCTCAAGAACAGCACCCACACCCTGAGTTCTGAGTTCAAGTCCCACAACTGACAAAAAAAGTAGCAGTTTAAATGTTCTAGTTACAGCTGTGGTCTAATTATGATCACAGTTCTGATTCTCTTGTTTTCTGGGCAAGTTATTTCGTAATCTCTTGGGGTGGAGAAAAGAGATGCTTTCTTTAGCTCCAGGGTGCAGTTATTGGTAATTATCCTTACTTGGGGGTTACCTATCTTGAAAGCTCTGCTGTTCTAAGGAGTAGTTTTTTTATTTTTTTATTTTTTTTGGGTCCAGTCAACGGGCTTGAACTCTGGGCCTGGGCGCTGTCCCTCAGCTCTTCAGCTCAAGGCTAGGGCTCTACCACTTGAGCCACAGCGCCACTTCTGACTTTTTTCTTTTTGCTTATGTGGTGCTGAGGAATCGAACCAAGGGCCTCATGCATGCAAGGCAAGTGCTCTACCACTGAGCCACCTTCCCAGCCCCTAAGGAATAATTTAAATCCTTTGTCATAAAGGTATCAGGCATCAGGCCTATCTGTTGTGGTACCCAGGGTGATCATAAAGTGATTGGAGAGAACAACTTAGAAAAAAATGACAAACAGAAAATGCGATGCTAGACAAAAACTACCTCTCACAAGTATACTTTCTCTAAGGTGAGAAACAACAGCATTAGTCTTTGGGGTTTGAGTAATCATTGAGATTGCTTGTGGGAAATTCCTATTCCTAGATCTGCACTCTATATTACTGAGGTTACCTGTGAGTCAAGGAAGAAGTTTTATTTATTTTTTATGCAGGTAATGGGGCTTGAATCAAAGCCTCCCTCTTGCCTTGGTTTTTTTGCTCAAGACTGAAACTCTGCCACTTGAGCCATGCCTCCAGTTCCAGGAAGTTTTAATTACAGTATTTTTTTCTCAGGCACCTTTTGATCTCATTATTTTAGGTTCCTTTTACACTTTTGATAACACATGCTACTGCTCTGTCTCATCTCTCTCTGCTATAATTGTCTATATATTTGTACAAGGAGTTTCAATTCACCATGCATACCAATATACATGATTTAAAAACAATATATATATATATATATATATTGCCGATACCAGGTCTTAAACTCAGAATTTTGCTTTCTCAATCAGCCTTTTTGCTCAATCTGGCACTGAGCAACACCTCCAGTCTGGCATGTTTGCTAGTTTAATTATCAATTGACTGTCTTCCTGGGATGGCTTTAAACTGCCAACCTCCAAGTCTGTCAACCTCCTGAGTAGCTGGGACTACAGGCTTGAGCCATTGGTCACCAGCTTCAGGGTGATCCGAGAATCACCTTTTGGAGCCAGCTTCAGCAGATAAATCTGTGAGACTCCTATCTTTAGTTAACCTGCACAAAGCTGCAACTGGAGGCATGGCTCAAGTGATAGAATGCCTGCCATGAGTGAAAAAAAGTGTTCAAGAACATTATGCCCTGAATTCAAGCCCTAGTCCCAAAATGCATGTAGTTTATTCTGTACCTCTATAAGATATTTTTAGAAGCAACAATGAAAAGTAAGCATCTCTCATCTCCTTATCTACATTCAGTTCCTGTGCTTAGGCATGAATTAGAAGTTGTACATCTTTATTATGCATTGTTAGTTTATTTCATAGATTAAAATTAGCAAATGTTCACAGTACATTTAAAAACCACCTTCAGAGGCATCCAATTTTGACTCACATGGATCCTTAAGCAGAGACTATAGGAGAGTATACATGTTTTTTTCATCTCTTTTTTTCTTTTATGCTAGATGTCCGGCAGTTATTGACAGTTTCTGGTGAGAAACTTTTTTTTTTTTTACCAAGGCCATTTGAATATTTGCAACATAATTCGTGGGCCACCCAGAATTATCAGTGCATGCAAATAGCTGTGGGAAACCAACAAGAAGCATACAGAAGTCTTATATATTTGTCCCCTGTCACGTAGCAAAAATGATTTCTCCAGTTTCTTTTACTCTTACAGAATAGGAATCTGAAAACCTCACTGGGAGTTCTAAATCTGTAAGTTGAGCTTATCAACTAGTCATAAGCACGATTGGGTTTAACAACTAATAATGAATATCATTGATGGATGACCTAACTGGGCAAAAATTTAGTTTGGACAGTTATTAGAATCTTTGCATTTTTCCTGTGATCTTATTCCCAGGAGAAGCCTCTTACAATTTCCTGTGCTTAGAAGTGAGGGCCTGTCAGTGTTTTGGGAAGGGTTTTAGTGGGTGAGGCTAAGGTCTGGTTTTTATCCCAAGCCTGGCTCACATTATCATGATCAGAAATTGTTAAATTTGCTGGTGGCTATGCCTGTAATCCTAGCTACTCAGGAGGCTGATATCTGAAGGATTGTGGTTCAAAGCCAACTTGTACAGAAAAGTAAAATGCTAGACTGGAGGCATGGTTCAAAGTGGTAGAAAGCTAGGGCTGGGAAAATGGCTCAGTGGTAGAGCGCTTGCCTTGCATGCATGAGGCCCTGGGTTCAATTCCCCAGCACCATATAAGCAAAAAGAAAGAAAGCCAGAAGTGACGCTGTGGCTCAAGTGGTAGAGCGCTAGCCTTGAGCTGAAGAGCTGAGGGACAG